CACACGTATACTACTAGGAGAGAAGAATAGAAACTTAAACTCAGGTTTTCTTTCGTATATTAGTGTAAGTTTACGAGATTTGAAATATTTTTAACTATAGCATAAGACATTATAATAGGATACACAGCTCAGGCAGCACCCATTCCGTGTTGCAGCTCCAATACAACCAAAACAAGAAATAAGAACGAGAACTACTCCGATACCAATAAATAAGAAAATAAACCTGCCGAATATGAAATAAAGAATTAGAGTGAGATTGATTTTTGTCAACAGCAAAAAAAATATATATATATTTGTTGTGTACTAACTGTACTACAAAACAAAAAATGGGACAGTTTATGATATAAATAAATTTAAAATGTAAAATATCAGTCATTACTCAATAATTAACAAAATAATAGAACAAAAGGTCAAAATACATGTGGTATTTTATTGGTGGTTTTCTTTCTCTCACAAAAATACACTGTTCAGTAAAAAACACTAACCAGAAAAACTAAAAGGTAATTCAAATTCACATTCTGTGTGCCATTCTACAAAGTGCATAAATTTTCTTAATTAACGGCAAGAATAATCAATTATGGATCAATTACACTATTGAATGAAGCTCCAACTATTTTTCTGCACCATGAGTCTACTATTTACCAAACATTCCAAAAGTGCATCTTGTAAATCTAACTAAACGTACTCAAATCAAACATAATGATATAGCAGTACACACCTAAAACAGAAGCCGTGCCCTAGAATCAAATTGAGAAGTTGATTCCAACCTTTAGACACTGTTATCTCTGGCTTAGTACCAAATGCATTTGACCATAGTTTTACTATAGCAACTCTTTTTTTAACTCAACAGTGCAATTCATTCAATACTTATCATTAGATGGTTACGAGACACTAAATCAAATTTCCCCTAACCTAGGGAAAAAAAGAAACTTGAATGTAATCTACGGCCAAACTTGATAAAACATGGCAGATTGATGCAGCAAAATATAACCAAAACAAAACCTTTAGCATGTCAAGAATAAACATAGGTAAATGTATATGCTCCAAAAGTGACAAGAAGAGTTCAGAACACATACCAAGCACTGGGCAAGTTATCAAAAAAGCTGTTGGATAGAGACACTGCCATAAGCATGGGCCGGCCAAGTTGAATCAGAGCAGAATCATCACTGACTGGAGAAATATCCGGCGTGTTATCATCTGAAGCTTTAGAGAATTCAACAAAAAGATAGATTCCATAGCCCACCATGGCCAGACCAGTGATGCTCAATATGAAGTTCAGAAGCTTCAAAAGGCACTCCCAGCATCCCCTACACGCCATCCTCTACCTATAACGGTACTTTAGTCCCTCAACCACAATTCAAAAAGGAGACCAGTGCCCTATATATATTTTCTGCAGAAACCGACAGACACTTCCCTATAGTAACATAAGAAATAAAATAAAAACTACCACATAAACTATAACACCTGCAGGTCAATTAAAATCTTAAGACCTAACTTCAACTTTTCCGTTTGCACTTGAATGTCTCAAAAGATAGAAACTAATAACAGCAATAACTTAAGCTCTGGTTGGATAATAGTTGAGAACGGGTTTTTGGGAATTCTAATGTACACTCCTGAATTCCAAAGCACAAAATGATGAGGGAAAAGTTAGTTACTCACGAGGTAAAAGTACGTTTTTTGAGCTGATATTCACGACTTAATGCATATTTGAATTTCAGTTAGGAGAGTTTAAAAGTACTTTCACTTCCGAAGCAATAATTTCTTCCTTCTTCGTTTTGAGCATTGCAATTTGGAATTACCCATGGAAATTTGCAAAAATATTTTTTCAACCTTCATCCAGACATGGTCTTAATCGTTTGATTTGCAAAAGACAGAAAAGCATTTCCAAAACGTAAAAGGGGAAGAAATATCCTCCAATTAGATGAATAATAAATACAATCTTACATCCCTAATTCCTTTTGATAAAAAATGTGAAATATCGCTTAGCTTGCAATCGAACCCTATTCGCATTAAAGCAGAACTCAGGAAATTATCAAGAAAGAACTTGAGCGATTCCTTAAACGAGAAATAATGAAGAAATAAACAACGAAACGAGATGAGTGGGTCGACGCTGCGAGAACTTACAGAAGCAATCGACGAGAAAAGAGACGAGAAAATTGAAATCACCCACACGGAAGAGAAGAGAAAGGAAGTCACAGAATAAGTCACAGGACACAGAATGTCACTCTGGCATTGGCTGGATCGTCTACGGCGTCCACAAAATTGTACATGATCCACGCCCTTAATTTACATACATAATAATTAAGAAAGTTTTGTATTAACCGTTGGATCTTTTTGAACGGTAGATTCTCTTTCTTTGGGGCTTGTTATCATACAACAAACACCCAAAAATGACGTATCATGGGCATCCGTTTAAATGACATGTTTGCCCTTAGCTTTGTCCTCCTCTCCTACTTTCTGAAATAGCATAAACAGCAAGTTCATTTGTGTTTTAATTTATTTATAATCAAAATATTATAAAAAAAAACAAATAAATATTTTTCGCAAATAATGTAAAACGAGCATTTTTTTTTTCAAAAATTCTGTATGATTTTGAATTAACTTATTTTATTTTAAACGACCTTTAATAATAGGTTTATTTTTTTCCTCGGCATGTAATGAACACTCCCCCATTGACAATGATTCTATTAATAATTATATCTTTCTTATATTTGATAGAGAAATTGAATATTAACTATTCTAAATAATCTTATATTGTTTCGATGAAATGGTTTCTGACAAAAGATTTTCATAGACATAGATCTGATATGAAATTTATATTTGTTTAGATCAGGAAATGGATTTAAAAGAGTATAAACAGAAAAAAAAAATAATAAAAATAAAGTTCTTTGAATTAGAATAAAAAAAGTAAAAAAAAAACATAGATGAAAAAATTATAATTTATTTAATAATATATATATATATATATATTAATTTGATAATATAATGAAATAAGAAAATATTCCTATTTAAAATTTAATCAGAATAAAAAAATAAAAAGGAAATATTTTTTAAATTTGAAATCATATTAAAATTTTATCAATTTAACGAGATGGAAAAATCACTTAAAAAAATTTAATAACATCTTTTAATAATTATTTTCACTTAATGAAAACTAATAAATTTATAGGATAAAATATAATTTTAAGGATTTTTTATATATTTTCTATTATTTGGTAGTCTAATCAATAAAAATAGAAGTTACTATAACATTTTAAATAATAATAATAATAATAATAAATTGAAAAAATAGTAGAAATTAAAAAAAATGGCAAATAACTTAAAAAGAGGAAAATTATTATCTTGAGAAAAATGGAAAAGACCTATATTAATATATTAATAGATTCCCTATCTAAAATTAATGTATATATTTCAGTATTCATGTATGAATTTACTTGTGGGATAATGAGTTATTCAACATGAAATATTTTTTAAACTCAAAATTTCAAGGTATTAAATTATAAATTTTTCTTTATTATAAATTATATAATTTTTTATTTTTATTTGATATTAAATTTTAATTTAAACTTAAATTTTTAATATATTTTTTTAAAATATGATTTCACTTCATATTAGTATATCTCTATTAGAATGAAACCATTTATTAATACCATTATTGCTGAGACCAAACTCGAAATTTCTTTGCAACATCCCCCTCCCATCCTCTAAAAACTGAAGAACATCAGCACCAAATACAAACTTAATAAAATTATTATTTGCTCACCAAAATTTAAATTTAGAACATTATTATTTTAATAATGAAACCAACATGTGTTCCGCCTATTTCGTTTCAATAAAAACACAGTTTTATAGGTTTTATTAAAATAAAATATTAACTCTCTTTTTTTTATCAACAATCCTTATAAGAATTCAAGTCCAATTTAACTCAGTGACTGACACATTGATATTGATATAATCAATGATAACGAGTATGTTATTATGGTTTCTGATTAAAAAAAAAAAAACAACCAAAGAAACTTCCAATGTCACAGGAACTTAAAATATTGGGTTCAAAGTCCTCTTCAACAAAAACTATAAGTTTATTAACAGTAATGCCATTTATGTGTTATTTAAAATGTTTTTTATTGATTATGTCAAAATTAACCTCTTCAAAAGAAAGTAATGATCAAAACTGAGTTTATGACCCTTAATTAGGAATTGTTTCACCAAAAGTTTACTGTGATAAATTAAGAAAAAAACAGAAGAATGCCCCCACCCAAAGGGTTACTACAAATGAAAAACACATGAGCTGCACAAACTGAGTGGTATTCTCAATTCTGTGTACAAAGCTGAAACAGCTTACTGAACAAATTGAATTGGGAAAGAACAGGTTAGCATCCACCAAAGCCTGGACTCATCTTTATTCACAACATTTTCTAACTACCCTTTTTCACCATTATTATTAGACACCCCAACTAGGGCCCCTCTCATCAGGCACCAAGACACCCCAAATCCTGTCATTCAATTTTTACATGGACCCAAAGCTGGTCAATTACAACCCCCAACCATCATCTACTATTTTGAGCCACAACATACCGTGCAAAGCTTCAACAAATGGAGCCATGCACTTCATTGAAACTGCTGACGACTGAATAGCTTAACCTTTTTTTTTAATGTTATTTAAGTTGAATTTTGGCAAGTGGGATGAATAGGATCAATGCATTGTCCACTGTGATGCAGCACGGTGTTGTATGACCAGACCTGACATCCACTATGAGCAGCTTAAGGAGAGACATCATGAGTGGTCGGTGTAGCGGTGGGGATCACAAGACAAAGTCAATGGTCCCACCTTCCAATCAAATCTACCACTGTAGTTGCAACCTGGGAGGGAATTTTGAGAAACAAAATAATTACAAGACTCATCTGGGAGTTGATATGTGACTGGCTGGCCAGCCCCATCATCATCATCATCATCAAAGCCACTACACTGTGAGAGCCGGTGGTGGGGTCATTGGTACACGTCAGCAGGGTTTTGGAGCAGAAGACCCCTTGTTAGGGATGCTGGATATCCCTTGTTTGGAGAGCTCAGCCAACACACTATCCATGGAAGGAGCTTTGAGTCCCAAGGGCAACGGTAGCCATGGCTTGTTAATTGCTTCCTTCACAACCTTGTCTACAACCTCCTCTGCCTGCATGCATGCATGAATGCATGAAACACACTGGATGAGGAACATTTCATTGTACGTCCATAACTCAAAACATTAGACAAGTCCATTAAGAAATGGAATTCCCATGCAAATTCAATTAGAACAAGTGAGCAACCATGTCATTGAGCACTAGAAGAACATTGGTCCATTTCAAATACAGTACTTGCATGATCACACAAATGATAGTCTAGTAGCAGCCTACAAAGTATTTATAGATAAACGGATTTGTTATTTATTTAAATATACACGCTTGATATTTGAGATAAGACATGGCTGGTTCGAATCTCTCTTCTAACAAAAATTAACATATTAACAACTTCTATTATATAAAAAAAATGTTTGAGATATTTAATCATTTGATTACTTTGCTCGGTAAAGCAATTCTTATTATTTTTCAACTAGAGAAAAATTTCATGATGACATTGTAGAAGGAAAGTACTGAATTACCGGATGATGTTCAAAGGAACTACGTGGCATGCTGAACCTATATTCCGCTGCTTTAGGAGTTTGCAATCCAGGTACGTTCTGCAGTTTCATGAGAATATTTGATTATTGACAAATAACTTAATTAACAAGAAAGGGTAAATTATGCACACGTGGTTATATTACATATAGAAATAGCAGTGAAACGGAGTTCAAATGTTCAAGTTGTTGACACTTACTTGATTGTAGGGAAAACCAGGAGCTTGAGGAGGTGGGAACAATGGGCATCCCCAAGCATCCACATGCACCTGAAACATCAAGTTACCAAATATCAAACTGCACGCACAATTTCTGCAGAACATACCACTAAGCATATTTGCTGATGTGAAATAACTTATATCCTTCCTTTCTTCCAAATAAAAAAATTACCCCCGGATAAGGCTTCCAGTGCCAACTCTCTGTAGGATGCCACAAGGGATATGCAGGAGGCCCCCAAATCTGTACCCCGGCTGATTGACTTCCAGGTTGTCCCCACATAGGATATATAGGAGCTGGAGAAGGGGTGGGGTTTGAATGGTAGGGAGGGTAGGCCATGATTGGTCTTTGCAGATAATAGCTCCTTTGCGTTGCATCCCTTTGATTATGCCATTTTCGATCTTCTTCCCCTGGTGCACTTTGTCTCTTGTGTATTCTATATTTCTGTTCAACATAAAGTTGTTACTTGATCTTACTATGAGGACATACCTATATTGTTTTTCTTTACTATCAGATAGATGTTGAAAATAAAATAGTCATTTTATCTTGCAGCGTGGGGATAGAAACTGATATCTATAACCAGAAGTAAAATAAGGACCTGAAGATGGCTTGCCACGTTGTGCCTTGTCAAATCTTCTACCTTCATTATCTCCAATATTCTAGAAGGAATGGCTTGATCAATACCTAGTTGTTCGACAGCCTTCACAAATTTTTTATGCAGCTCAGGTGTCCAGTCTACCTGAATCCAAAAAACATGTACAGTAACTGTTTTGAGATAATCATACCAGCATATCGTTTGCACAAAATAAGGATAAGCAACAACGAGCACAAAATATTTACTAAAAATATCTCTCTGACACCAGATTGAAGTCTTTTTTGTGAAATAACAGCTCATGGATAAGATGCAGTTGAAATCTTCAAAAGTTCAATAACTGCCATTTTCATGTTCAATAATTATTATGGATATATACATCATCTGTTAGAGATCCAAGCAACATAATTATGTTCTAACCAGGCAACACATTCTATTTAAAACTGAATACAAGGAATGGAGGTGATGATAAGAGCCATGCTGTTCTACCAAGCTATTTCAGTAGGAAATCCCATTGGAAGTGTCACTTCTAGGATGGACAATCATAGAGCAGTTAATATTTGACAATTCCATTATAAAATTTACCTTACTCACTCCCAATGATTTAGTGATGTCTGGTACAATGTTTTCTTTAATAATTCACAGCATGCAGAGTACAACATTGACAGGTTAAACAAAATTTTGAAATAATTTGTAATACAAGTGCTAAACTAGTCCCATTGATATCAACTATATGAGCATGTGTAAGAAAATGTTATAGAGCAAGAATGAAGATTAGTGTAGTTTTAGTGTTAATGTTGGTATTTTCCAACTCGGGAAGAGGTTTACATCATATAACTCTGCATATGATAAAATGAACTAGTACTCGTAATTCAGCTTACTTTCATCTTCTTCCGATTAGCTTTAATCTCACATGAATCATTAAGTACTTCCGTCTTTTTTGGAGATGTATTACCATCTGCATTGCCATGGATCTTTTCCATGTTTGGATTCAGTGAAACAGCTCTCTCGCCCTGGGAACCATTAGCAAAATCCTCTTCCTTAATCAGAGTCTGCTTGAGTTCCATTGGTTGAGGAGAACTTTCAGCATTCAAATTCTCGCATGAAGTTTCGACAGATTTGCATTCCCCACCATGTTCCTCACTTTCTTTTTCTGTTGAGAAATTAGTTTGCTCATGACAATCTCCATCATCTAGTAACCGTGTCCCATGTTTCAATTGAGGGGTTGATGGAGCCGGATATTTATCACATACAGATTGCTCATTGTCATCATCACTAAACCTGGACACATTCTCTAAATCAATCGACATTGTCCTTTTATGAGTTTTATCATGTTGATTGTCTGTTTGAAGCTGCAGCACTGATTCTACAGATTCTTTGATAGGTTTTAGAGATTCAGACAGAACATTTTCCCCAGCATTAAAAGCCTGCATAAATTCAATCACATTAAAAAGTGCTTTATTCATATTATTTTAAAAACAAATGTCACCATAATGTTGCCAATGCGAACAAACCTTGTGAACAACATGCTGCCAAATATTTTTGAGCTTGTCCTCAGAGAGTGGTTTACTGAGGAACTCAACGGCACCAAGCTTAAAAGAAGAAAATGGATCACAGATTAAAGAGGTGTGCGTCAACAATAAGGAGCGCATTATATCAGATATTCATCCACCTATACTTTTCTTAGGATAAATAAAACAAAATCTTACCGCAATGCACTTCATCGTTGTGTTCAGGCACTGGTTCTTTGAAGTCACTGCATGAAAAATTGTAAGTAATAAGTACCACTGATTAGAAAATTTAAAGCAAACATAAGACAGCCCTAAAGAAAACTTTTTCCTCATATTACCCTTGTCATGCTTCCCCGTAGATCATTCATCAATTTCAATTGTTTAAAAGCTTAAAAGGGAGAAAATATGTTGCCAAATTATATAAAGCAGAACCAAGCAACAATCACAAGAGAAGCAGAAGGGAAAATAGAGATTCAAGAAAATAATTTACAAGTATTACTAATTGCTGATTTGCAAGAAACAATGATTTTCCTACTTTTCCGAATTAAATCTGTGTTGACCTGCAGACTAGACAGCTGACTGTAATAAACACCATAAAAATGAAATTGTTGATGACAAAAAACACAACTTAACCAGCAGAGTTAGACTTGTTTCTGTGCTTACTAATGGTAGGCAAGTCCTTTGCATTCTCAAGAAATTTGAAACCTCCAAGGCTACTGCTTGTACTCACCTACAATTCAGATTGATAATTGTGGTTAATCAAAGGCTAAATTATTTTAACAATGTAATGAAGATCAATTACAAGTTTAAGGTATAGACATTGTCAAAGTGAGACAAACAGTCCCAAGATATTATTAGAGCAAATGCATATGGTGTTAAAAGTATTCATTTATTATTGTTAATTCACAAAATGTGAGATAAATGATTCCTCTGTTGAAGGTATGTTTTATGTTTGAAATCACAAAACCATTATGCAAGAGAACTACCTACTTTTCCATATTCACCTCATTTTACACTAGCATACTAGACAACATCCTTTTTTTTCTCTGCTTTTGTTCAAATTTTACAACTATAACATAATGTTTTATCATTTATACAGAAAATAAAAGTCCATTACCTCCACTATGGCGACATGGAAGCCTTCAGGACTACTTGATATTGCTGACAAAGCTTCATTCACGTCATAGAAGGTAGAAACTGTACAAAGATTTTGAGGTTCACTAAACAAATTGAAGGAATAAACAAGAATGTACAGGAAACAAGAAAGAGTGTGGTAGTGAATGAAAATAATGGTTCGAATTAAATTATATGTCATGTCAGTCAAAGTATAATTAGGTTGGTTCCTGAGATTTAATTTTTACAACACTTGGATTTGTGGAAAGATTGGTTTTCCAAAATATATGCTCATCTTATTCTGCTAACTGATTCATATTCTTTTGGGGATTAGAAGCCCATCTTAATCCAAATGCACCAAAAATAGAATAGATTCAATAGTTCATAAAGTCAGATAACAGACCATTCTTTTATCCTCAATACCTTTAGAATTTGGACCACTCCCAGCGGTCAGAACACTGAGGCAAAATTTAAAGCACAAACGAAAAGTTTTGCACCTTAATACACCATCTAAAGAAATACCACATATGCTAACATCAAGCATCATGAAAGGAGGGCAAAATCTATACATATTTCAAACCTTCAATAAAATAAAATCTTAGTCCACAATTTCCAAAAGAACCACATAAGGGCTATCTAAAGCAGTGCCTTTACAAGATGCCATTCCACAAAATGGGGACCAACTTTACCCACTAATTGAGGAAAGTGAGATTAGCTAGGCCATAGTTTCAACTACACGAGGAAGTGAAACATACCCAAAAAATAAATGAAAAATTAAGGGGGATCCAAAAAGTTTTACCATTATAGTCCATGGCCTCAAGCTGTTCTCTTATCTCGGAAGCAGAACTTCTATCTCCGTCAAGCAGAAGAACCCTAAGTCCCTTTGGAAAATCTTTCCATCCTTGTAAATCATTGGCAGTGCAAACCATAGCTGGCTTGGCATCGTCACTCAGTCCCCTACTGATGTAACAGATCAATATTGACTACGAACATCTAATCCCTTCTGCAAGATCCATGAGATCACAAGCTTGAATTTGTTCCACAGAACACAGAAAAACAAAGGAAAAAGAGAAGCAGAAACTTCAATTTGTTCACATGGTAAAAAGCTTTGAAAATGCGGAATGCTAACATGACACCTAAACTCAAAAGTTAAAACCAAAACAAAGTTCAGTTTGAGAATCACAAACTCTGATCACTCCTGAAACAACTCTTAAATAAGTAAAAAGAAGATTCCTACTCACTTTTCCAGTACATTTCCTACAAAAAAAAAAAAAAATCAAAACCTGTACTTCATACCATAAAGATCTCATTTGCAAATGAAATGAAACTCACAGGACACTAAACAGACAAAGACACGGGCAAGATCTCCAACTATGATAGCTAAACTTGACAATAAACCGGGGTCAAACACCAACACAAAACCGTGAACCAACCCAGAAAAGAAGTAAATAAAACAACCCAAAGTGGCAAGCATGCCATGCCATGCCATGCACATATTATAATCCAAAAACGCAAATAGAAAGCAAAACAAAACCAAAACAGCTGAATTCTCCAACGATGAACACTTGAACCGAGGGACAATCAGCATGCACACGGAAAGTGGTTCTTTTCCGATACTTTTATTTTTCCACTACCTTGGCTGAAAAGAAAATGCCCCACCAAATCCTCTAGCCAAAGTCGTGTTCTTTTTCTCCTCTTATTTCATTGAAGACAAAGAAAGCAAATGGAGAGAGAGGATGAGTTGAGGAGAGGGAAGAGAAGGGAAGTGAGTAAGGAGGTTTAACTGCGGTCGTTGAAGGGTGTCTGTGAACACTGAACAGTTACCATCGCTCCTTAACAACCACATAATACGCAGAAAAAGAGTCAATCAACAATTCTGCCACAATTTCAAGGCTCATATTCCAAAGATACCCTCATGTTTTTTACCATGTATTCTGTCAAAATCTTACGTGTTATTTCCCATAATTTTAGTTGCAAACAAAAACATTGTACGAAATTTATTTATGAAGTTGAATTAAAAAACATGTTTAATTTCACTTTGATTAGAACGGTGAATTTATTTCTTCAAAATCTAAGAAAACTTCAGTTTTAAAATTAAAATAAAGTTTTTTGAAAATATATTTATTTGTTTTAAATAAATTCTTAAGTCTTAAATGTTATAATAAGGTACAATTTTATTTATATACAATGATTAAATTATATTCTAACAAAAGGAATAATTTTATTTTGAAAACTTTCAGTATATATATATATATATATATATATATATATATATATATATATATACCACTAAAAAATAAAAGAAACCAACATGTTTTCTCATTTATGTTACTAAACAAACCAATAAATATAACTGAAAAATAATTTTCGGAGGAATATAAAAACAAAGGAATCAAAGTAAAACAAAAATACTAAAAAAAAGAGGAAAAATGTGAGGAAAGAACCCAAAGAGGAGAACATGAAAGAGAACAAAGCTTGAAATAACGTTCACGAATGAAACATAATTACACGGATGAATATCTTTTTCTTCACGTCTTTTTATCACTTTCCTTAAAAAAAATAAAAAATAAGATGAATATACAAAATATTATTTTTAAAATTATATATTATTGAAAATCCCATGTCGGATATCTAACATAATTTAAATAAATGTTAAATTACTATATTAATAACTAATTAATTTTATATTAAAATCTTAATATGATATCAAATTCAAAATCTATCATCTTTCTTAGTTAAATAGGGATATTAAATTTTATAAGAAACTTTGCTTAGTACAATTATGAATATTTATTCATAAAATAAATTTAGTTTTATAAAATATACGAACGTGTGAATAATATCAGATTTAATAACTAGGATTTTCATTTTTATATATATAACGAAATGCTAGTATTTATAAAATGGCTTCAATACTAGAATTTTTCTTCGCAAAACATAAATAAACAAAATGCCAAAGTTTATGTGAGTGGTTTTATGGTAACAATGAAAAAAACAAGGTTTATAGCTAAAAATAAAACTTTTTTTAATAAAGTTGGATGTATAAAATGTAATGCAGTTATCATCATTAACGTGTACCTAAAATTAGAAATTGGTGAAAAATATACCAAAGGGCAAGGTTCCTTATGTAGAACAAGTGGATAAGAATGTTAATTTTTTTAACACAGACAAAATAAAGTTTTGAAGTCAAAACCCTTTCAAAATTGATAGCACACAAACAATGGTGTATTTGGCAAAATGCCAAAATCAACACATAGTTAGTGAAAGTTCAAATCTAAGTAATGTTAAAAGTAATATACTAATATATTAAATTAAAAATAACACTAAAATCATTTCTTGAACTACTTTTTATATATAAAGGAAAAGTCCACCTAAATTAAAAATTTATTTTTTATTTCTACTATTAATTTTATTGTAATATAATAATTAAAATAAATTATCATATTATATTAGATTAATATATATATATATATATTAAGTTCTATTTAAGAATTAAAATATCTTAATCTTATTTGATTTTATGTTTAAAAAACATATTATGAGTTGTGGGAAAAAACTATATATAAATTATTATTTACTTTAACTTCTAAACTCCGAAATATATTAAAAACATAAAATAAATCTCTATTTTTTGTTTTTCAGATAAATAAATTATTTCTTTATTTATATATAAATAATAATTTATTGACTTTATCATAGTTTAAAACTTTGTAATTAGTGATACTTAAAATTATGACCATATTAAAATTTTAATTTATTTCAAGATAGTTTATATTTTAAAAATTAAGATAATGTTTTTTTTTTGTTTACTAAATAGAATAAAATCGTGTAATTGAATTTGTATTATAATAACTTTTGATAATTTAATATTCAAGGATAAGTTATATTTGGTGAGAGAGAAGTGAAGAAAAATTAGAGGTGACAAACACATTTAAATATGTTTTTTCAACCGAACCCCAATAGGGTAAAACGTCAAACTTGATAGCATATGGATAGAAAATAGTACATAAGCTACTTACTAACCAATATGTTTAAGTGAAGTTTAGGCCATAAAAACTATGAGTATTCCTTGGTGTGTGAAACTTGGAAGTTAGGTGAATTTAATCTCCAAGTTTGCTTATTAAACTAGTTATTTCAATGAAAAACTTAAAACAAAATCATGTATTTTTTTTTTCATACTTAAAAGATAATTATGTTGGAAAGTGAGATTGAGTAATTTATTGGTTAAAAGCCAAAAAAGCTATTATTAATTATGAAGGTTACACAGCATTTAGTTTGTGCAAAGTGGGTGTTAATTACCAAGGCCAAAATTGAATTTGCCCCACCCCAAAAAGGTGCAAAAATGGAGAATATTTTTGGCTGGGTAAAGTGATATCCTCAAAAGGCAATAATTACAAATTGCTTTCTACTAAATCAATGAAACAATAACTGCAAAAAGAAAATTGATATGACTTTTGACCCTCCTTAATAGTGTTTTGCTATTCCATATCTTCCCATGTCACCATGATGAAAAAATTTCAAGGTGAGTTTCCTTTTCCCCCCACAAAATACCACCACACTTTTCTTCAACTCTAATGAACCTAATCACTTCTCATAGACCACATATTGATGTTAAGAGGAAGTGACTCTCAATCTCATGTGCACATGCAATAAATCTTGAAGTTGATGGACACTATACAACTAGATGAGTTTTGATGGACACTCCTAAAATCTCATTTTAAGCATCATTTAGTATTTTGAATATCCATTTATCTTCTTTATTAAAATTAGGGTAAGTAAGTATAAAACCATTTAAATTGTAGGGTCTTATATAAAGGGCATTTTGGTAATTAAAGGGTTGGTACTTGCTAGCCCAAACTTGAAGAGTTGCTTAAACATATGTGGGAAGTAAGATTGTTAATTATAAGGTAAGCTAATGAAATGCACTGAATTCCACTTCACTTATTATCATAGCAACCACTCAAAACAAGTTTCTACTTCTATTGTAACTCATAAGTTTGTAACCCAAAAAAAAAATTGTACCTTACTTTTACTATTTTAAAATTAGATTGGAATTATTAAAATAATTCAACCAAAAATTGGTTTGATGACAACTCTACATTAATGAAGCATTTCAAAATCTACGTTGAAAACTGGTTTGATTTTTTTAATTATATATATAGACAATTAAAAAAGATTATCTACCTTTTAATTTTAAATTAAATGATATGTAATAATAAATATGGATTATTTCTATTTTTTACGTATTATTTTTTATCATGCTCACTAATTTTCACAAAGGTCATGGATTTTTTTTATTTATATATGTTTTTTTCTTCAATCTTACTTAAACTTAGATTCAGATTTATATTACTTAATGTTTAGTTTATTAATAATATATATTGTTTTACTCTAATATCTCATAAAAAAAAAATACTGAATAATGCAACTTATGATCCTTTGTCTCAATATATCTGTGAAGTATATCATGAAAGAAAGAGTGGAAATTTGATTGTGTGAAACAACATTTCAGACAACACTGGCTTTAGTTCATGGTTGGAAATTTGCTATAAATGGTTTGACTATGGTCCCAACCATAGGGTTGAATTGGATCCTTGAAACATAATCAAATCACTTGCAACGTGTTCATAATTCGAGTCACACATAGACATACCAATTTAGTCACATGAACCTGTCGGTATCACAACCACCACAAGAAATCCAAAACAAAACAAAAATTATGTAAATGGTAAATCATGAGACTATGTATTGTTTAGGATATGTTGATTTGAAAAACATTAAATAAACATTTTTTTTATTGGTATGAATTTCATGGGACTTTCGAAAACCAAGAGAAAAAAAAACCATTAAATAAAATAACTTTTAGTCAATTCAAAAAGTTGTTAAAAAAATAAAAATTATGGATATATTTTTCAAATTTGAAAAAATATTTCAAACATGGTTTTTAAGACAATAGCATGACACCAAAATAGTTCGTGGAAAGGTGATTTAGTGACGAAACAAAACCATTCGCCCACAGTTTTGCACAGTCATTGATTTTTCTCTTTTTATCTTGGTTGGAGGTAGTGGTAGTCCCACAAACACTATCATCCCATAGATCTTTGTCTGCTTCACCCTCTTCTCATTCTTCAACGTTGTCAATGCCTCCATCATTTCACTCTTTTCTTACCCTACACCATTTGCTAAACTACCATGATTCAGAATGTGCCTAACTAAGATATTGTATTGTCACTGTTTTTTACTTTATTTATTTCATAAATATTATCCATTTTTTAATTTTAATTTCTTAGAAAATGTGTTGATTGGATAAGCTTCCCCTAGTTTGCAAGAAAAACATAGAATAAAAAGCGGTTAATGTGAAAAAATAAGTGAAAAATAACTTTTTTTTGTTGATTAAAAAAAAAAACAAAGAAAAACTATAAATTTATAACAAATATATTTATTTTCTCTTGATATATGAGTGAAAAAAGTAAAAAAATAAATAAAAAGAAAAAGGAAGAATATTATTTATAAAATTATTCTTTCGTTAGTAAATATTCTAATAACCTAAAAATAATTATACAGTCATAAAAACAGTAAAATTTAATTAAATAACAAATTTTATAAATTTTCGTATCATTTTTTTTTGTATATTTGTCACTCTATTTTATTTTTATTTTTTTTTACACTTTCTTTCCTTACTTTTCATTTGTGAAAAAATCACTATTTCGTTATCATAATATTTTATAATCAATCACTAACATTCAAAATAATGTCCAATATAAAATTTTAGTTATTTTTTTAAAGTATTAATAAATTAAGAAAGAAAATTTTTTATTTTTAATAGGAAAAGTTTTCATACACAACAAAACTGAAACACAATATTTTTTTATTAATTTTTTGTTTTCTAAAATATCAACATGTTACATCTAACCACGTTTTGAACTTGTGTCATTATTTCGTACATTGAATTGAAAAAAGAGAGGTTTGTTTGGTTGATTTTTATTGCTGCATCATTACGTTGCTGGTTTTGATTGGGGTCCTAATTTGAATTTCCTTGACAACCACCACATTTGCCATTTCAAACTCGAGATTTTTGCAATCTCGTGTTTGGTTTCACTTTTGTTTGTTTTCATTAGGAAATAATCTCACTCATCAAACCTTTCATTATTGCCACAATACTCATTTTGTAGATTACGTTAGGAATATAATATAAAATTAGTCTAGTTTATTTTAAGAATATAATATAAAACTTGCATCAGATTATAATTTTAATATTTTAAATAAAAATTGATTTTGAAACGTGTTACAAAATTAAGCTAAAATACTACCCAAAAAATTGTCATGATCTAGAAGTTATAATATGCAACTTAAATTCTCCCTTTAATCCACTGTTTACTTTAGTGGAAAAGGAGTGCAAAAACAAAAACACACTTTTTTATTTTTTATTACTGATAAAAAAAACTATAAAATTGAAAAAGAATCCTTTAAAAAAATGATTTCATATATATATATATATATATATATATATATATATATATATTATTTTTTTTTCTGTAAATTAAAGGGGTGTGATGTGAACTCACTGAAGTTGATGGGTAAGGGGTGTGAATAATTTGATGATTTTTTTTAATTTTAATTTTAATGCTGTGAAATTGAGAGAAAGAATTAAAGAGGTGGAAAGAAATTGTTTTTCATTAATTGTTTATCTTTGAAATAGAAGGGAAGTGAAGATTTTTGTGGTTCACCTGAAAATTGATTACATTATTCGATAAAATATTTTTTATTTTTTAATTGTGAATTTTAAAAAATAACATATCAATTTATATCGAGAGAAAAATAAATACTAAATGAAAGACTATAATTTTTAATTAGTTTAAAAATTCGTTTTTTAATTATTTTTATCCATTTTTTTCATTAATCCAAAACAATTGAAAACAAGGGAAGGAATTCACATTACGTTGTAAACAATATATAATTAATAAACCGTACATATATAAAAATTCTTAACTATTATATTATTTTAATAGTTCTGTGCCTAATAGATCTTAATTATTTATTTAAGAAAGTCTTAATTGGATAATTAATTGATTATATTAACTAAATTAATTAATTGATTTTGTTTAAGTTTGTAGGGTGTTAGTACAAGTATGTTGGTTGTTGATTTAATTTAAATACAACATGTTGAAATTGAGAAACAAATTTCAAATATAGGTGAAATATAAATGAAAAAAATATATAATAGTAAAACGCAAGGAAGGTTTAGGCAATAAATGAAGTTGGGAGTAGTAATAGTAATTGAGAGCCTAAGAAATACGTGAGTACTGTGAATGGACCACACGTGAATGATTAATGATTTAAAAGGTTGAGGAGCATGTGAACCACAGCCATAATTAACTACATACATGTAATTAAAGTGAAACAGTGGAAAATAGCAAGAAATGAAAAATTCAAATTTATAAAAAACTAAAGTAAATAAAATCGCCCACCGTGGGGCTCGAACCCACGACCACGAGGTTAAGAGCCTCGCGCTCTACCAACTGAGCTAGACGGGCTTTTGATTGAAATTTTTATAATGTCACATTTTCTCTATATGATGGTATATATTTGACACATAAACCGTTATATGCTTAAATACCATACTATGTGAAGAACCTTTTCCATTTGTCATTAGTCTCGTGAAAAAGTAAAGCAACCCTTAGCGGCCATTTTTTTCTTATGCAGAAAACACAAACTTGCCTAAAAAATAATTATATTTGATTTACTTTAAAATAACTTTTTCATGACATAATTATACTTAATCTAATACTTTTTTATATTACTCTAAAACATTTAAAGACTTAAATTCACTACTAAATATTTTTTGGTAAATAATGAAAATAATTATAAAATTATTCATTCAATCCATGAAAACATCATTTTACTTAGTAATATAACTATTGATATTTATTGCTTCTAGAATTATAAGAAATGAACTTATTTTCCTGTAGAAGTACGTAGTTAATAGAAGATTATTTTATTAGTGATGCACAAATATTATATTATGTTTAATATTTAAAAAATTTGAATCGTGGTTAGAAATTAACAACTTCTCAATTATTAGAAAAAAAAATTTAACTGTGATTAAAAATACGACTTTTTTTCGTATAGTGTATTACAACTTCAATTTTTCTAAGAAAAAAAAACTGAACTTTTTACTAGGTAATACAACTTTATTCAACCAACCTATTTCCTAAATATTTTAAAAAATAAGAAAACAAAAATGAATTGCACCATTTTCATGTTTTTCCCAAAAAAAACAAATATACGAGTGAAAAAGGAATATAAATATACGAAGGTTACCTCATTTTTAATATATTATGTAAGAATAATAACAAAACAAGTTCGCATATTATCGGTTGTGTTTCTTATGTAATAAGTAAAATAAAATGAATATGTAGATAATAGAGCGAACGTTTAGGTGTGTATAAAATATAGGACCTATGTGATCACATACTATCACGTCCATATACCTTAACCCCACAACACAACAATATCATATCATTCTTTATATGCTTTAACATATTGGATTGTGTTTCAAAAAAATTGCTTAGTTAAATCTAGTTAAAAGTAGTTTGGTAGTCGAGACCCGTGGATGTAAAAGAGTCTCAAGGATGTGATTTTGCTACTTAAAAAGCATGCAGGTCCCATGAATATACACTTGTTTTGGTGAAAAAATTATTCATAAAAATGCAGGTCAAACTTACAACCAATGCCGCATATATTGCCCTCTGCTGCTGTAAACATAGACAAGATAAGCTTTACCCAACTTTCTTTGTACAAAGAAAGACAAGACTTCAGCTGAAACTCAGTTTGGGGCATCATAATTTACAAGGGAATGTACTAGTCACTGTTAGGAGGTGTCTCCAGATCAAAAAAGTGGTTCCATAGGCTCTACAACAAATCAATTTTACTACATCAGAAAACAAGCATGATTTTAAAGCAGATATTAGTAAGTCAATCACTGACCAGTTTTCACTTCAGGGTGTTGTTGATGATTCAGATCCATGTCTTTGTTTACCCTTGCTTTGCTTGCATCTCTTCTTTTCTTCATCTTTGAGGCACTGAGAGAGCCTTCAACTGTACAGTATGAGATAAAAAAGAGAAAATATAAATCACTAGAAATACACAGGTAATCATCATGTTAGCTGAAAACACTGTCTCGCAGCAATTCATCAGAATTTTATCAGTATATTAAATTACTGGCATTACTGGATGGAAACGATTTTCATAATATTTCCAGCATGCCCAGCCCATGTACCTTGCCATTCCCATACCACTTTTGATTCACCCTTCACCAACTTCGGATAACGATCTATTCGCGAATCTTCTTGAACCAATTCTTCTACCTGTGATCCCAACAACGTTATTACATAATCAATCATTCGTTCAGTTCATTTAAAAACCCATTGACATATTTAACTTTAATTACAGGACAAGAGTGATTTCATCAACAACGCTCAAAAATAGTTGGGGTGCAAAGATTCATAAATCAATAAATGGAACGGAATGAAACAGAGAAAGAATAACCAATGCTGTTGAATTAGAAGGACATGCCGTTAGAAAGTATGACTTTGTCCTTGCTGAAATCCTTGAGAATGGCATATACAAAGTCATTTAAAATTCATCTTATGATACAAAATCAATAGGTATCCGAATTGTATCAAATCGTAAGATTTGACTTGTGAACAATAAGATTCTAATGACTATGGTGGAGTGCAAATACAGATAAAATGAACTAGTTTGTTCTGTTTTGGCGATTGGTTAATTATTATTATTATAATAAAACAGGGTAATCAAGTAGAATGAATTCCAAAATAACACTTAAACTACCTTTCTCCATAATAAAGGGTTCTTCCTCTCTCTTGGCAAAAGCAGGTGATCACGTAACCTAGAAGCAACAACCCAGGGTTCACATTCACCGTTTGCACTCTTTGACGTCAATGCATTCTCTTCAAGTATTTCACAGACCTAAAACATCAGTAACAGAAATTTTGAACGGATATAGAATCAGAATAAAGATGCAATTATTCATTTAGTCAAAAGAACCTGTGCACAACAGATATAAATGTAATTGGAGTTAAGGGGAGACAAAAGTCACACACGTATATATATTTATTTATTTGGAAAACACATTCAACTGACTTTACTATCTGAGTATCGGTCCACCGCATTGATCAGAATCCTAGTCTTATCCAAACTCCACTATCAAACACTAGGGAGTATGAATACTTCATCATTCATCTAAACCTACAGAACTATAATACATCTCAAATTTACGAATTCGGTCATTTGAACCCTATGGTCACTGTACACAGAACTTCCTTGAAACATATTTACTATTTTGTTAACTCTAACTAACAAGTATTCTATTAGAATATATTTGAGCTTTCATATATATATATATATATATATATATATATATATATATATATATATATATATATATATATATATATATTATTAAGGCTCTAACATAAAACTAATTGGTAATATATGGAACAGTCTAATAGGTATTTAAATCATAACCAGGTAAAGAGTACTTTTGACCCTCAACGAAAAGGTAACTCTTGACCTAAGACAACCGGAAAAAAGTTAAGTTTTAGTTCTAATACCATATTAAGGCATAACACTAATTGACAATATGTGAAGTAGACTATCAGGTATTCTAACCATACATATGATATGAGACAGACGATGTAAGTCTCCCCTACCTTTCTTTCTCATGGAAGTTATTACATAAAATCACACTTGTAAAACTGACGATCAACGAAAAGTAATAATCCCTGGTGGTACGTGTGTGTCCCACTATACCTTATCGTAAAGCTCCTCAACTCTTTTTGACATGGATAGTTTCTGTCGTACTTTCCAAAACAAAACTGTGCATCCAACAAGCTGTTAAATTTCAACACAATCAACATGTTTACTCAATGATAACAGAAATATATGCATTAAAGTATGTCTTGAGGAAATGGATACCATGACACAAATGCACAAAACAACTAGAATATGCTGGGAGATCCACTGATGAATACAGCAGGTATATGACTTGTAATGCTCTGCCAGCAAATCTGGACATTTAAACTCCTTCATCCTGTATGAAACATAACTTGTAAGTGACATCCAAAGCAGAAATTAGCCTCTAAGAAAACATGAAACTAACAACCACTGTTGACTTGATTAAAACGAAATAGATATGACATACCCATGAGAGTTGTTCAATCTTGTCTCCAATACTTTCCCCATTGTTTCAACTGCCTTTTGTTTTGTATAATTATAGAGAGCATTGTCCCCTTTGAGATTTCCCACGGGCTCAAAATAATTCCACAAATCCTCCTCATGAACCTGAGATGGGAATACAAAAGGGAAGTTGAAACCAGAAGCACTAAGAACAACTCGAGCAGTAATGTATATAGCCAAGAATTCATAAATACAAGTAAACTGCAAAATCCAAGGGTTAAATATGAGAAAGCTAACCCAAATTGGTCCGGTTCCACTGCACAAAAATTGAGCATATCCCTCACATAGGTGATGTTCTACTCTCTCCACCTGTGGTCAAATGCCGTCAGAAAGACATAAACAAAATGCAAAGAACAAGGAAAAGATAATAGATAGTATTTATTTCCAAGAAATAGTAAGTCAATATAAATCAAATTCTAGAGACGTACAATCATTCTAGCCGATTCATTAATATCTCCATCTTCTACACACAACTTCCCATGCCTTTGGTAACCCTGAAGACATTCCAACTTTCCATTGTTGCATTCTCCATTACTTGGACAAGGTTGACAAACATCTGCAACAATTCCCAGTCAGTAAAAATGTCACAAGATGCATACAATTTGCAAAATCCTACCCGTTGAGACTACAATATTAATTGATGATACAAGGCCCCAGAGAATGAACTTCCAAAAAAAGTATTAGAGATAATATGAAGCAGATAAACATTGAGAGGGGCTTGCATTAGAAAGCATATGCATGCATCTCACCAAATCAAATAAAAGAACAAAACAATGGTATAATTCAAAGAAAGAAGGAAATCAGATGAATTTGTTCATGACTGTTTGAAACAGCTATCAACTGCTTTACATTTATAGTACTCAGCCCTGAAAAGAAAGCTATCTTACTCTGATTTTCCTATTACTTTTTTGGAGGCATACGTTACTTCTTCTACTTTACTTTCTTCTTGATAGAAAAAAAAAAGAAAATACAGAACAATTCAAATAAACAAAATAGGGAAGATAAAATAAAATAAAGCCATCATGAGAGTACATGGAGATTAGGCATGTGTAATTCAGTGGGCCAGTATTTACTAAATCAGAGTTAAATTCATCAACCTAAACCCAGTGGCATGTTGAGTTGCAACATTAATTGGGAGAAGATGATAAATGATAACATAAAACAATTAATCAATCACCACACGACTAACTTAACACAATCATATCAAATGCATGGAAAACACAACACATGAAAACAAAAAAAAGCTTTAGCAAATGAACACAGAGTGAGGGAGAGACCGGGAAAGTAATCAGGGGAGTGGGGATTGGTGTCGCAAAAGGGTTTGGAAGGGGGATGAAGGAGAGAGGTGAAGAGGAAATTGCAGGTCCAAGCAACTAGCGATGCGAGTGCGAGCACGATAACCAGTCTGGGCAAGTCGTGTTTGGAGGGTAACAAATTCTGAGGGGGTTCTCCTCCCATCAACGAATTCGCCCGAATGCCTGAACTATCTGGAATGGAATTAGACAAATACTCCCTTCGCCGATGCTGCTTCATGTTTCAAGACACATCATCACTCCGCAACAAAACTTGCACTACTTCCTCCTCTTTCTTCCATGTTTTTTACACACACAAAAAAAACTAGTCTTACGACACTAAGTTTTAACCCTTAAAATTATATTAATATTCTAATTTTATATCTAGTGTAAACGATTGTTTTTGTTCAAAAAAAAAAAAAAGTACAATTGCTTGTGAAATTGAAATCAAGTATCAAAATTCAAAAATTGTGTTCTTAATAATTTTGATTTTAAATTTTATTTTGATTAGAGTTCTAAAAGTATAAAATATTTTATGACATCGTATCTTTAGATATTAGTGATCAATTGTTAAATAATTTTTTTAACTTAATAATATGTTAAATTTAAAATTTGATCTATCACACTAAACATATTAGGTCTTTAAATATTTTTTATCTTTCTAAATTTAATTAATTTTTTTCTTAAAAAATAAAAATCCAATTGAATTATTTGTTTAAATTATTATCCTAAGGGAATAAAAAAGAAAATCAGGTTATATATGATAACAACAAAATAGCTAAATTTATCATAACAATTGAAGGGTGAAAATCTTGGAGGATCACATAACATGAAAAATACATATAAAAATAGGACAAAATATTTGATGTTTTGTACTAAAAATATATATGAAAGATAGAACAAAATAAGTATAATATATATATATATATATATATTATAAAATATTAATAAATAAGTATCGTATTTTATTAATTATAATATATTTTTTAATATTTTAAAATAAAAAATAAACATGAGTTATTTTATCTCTAGTAAATAATAAATTATTCCTTTTTTAAAATAATATGTAATTTAAAGTTTGAATTTATTATGATAATGAGATTAGATAATCTATATTTAAAAGAATAAATTTTTATTTTAGTGAACATACAAGAAAAAATTTGCTAATATATAATCATTATGTTATAATCATTATCTTATAAGCATTTCGTCCTATCAACTAACTTGACTATATTTGTCTAACTATAAAAATAAAATATTTTTTAAAAAATAATTATTTTGTTAATTGTTTATATATATATATATATATATATATATATATATATTAAAATATAAATTTTCTTCTCATTTTCCTCAAATCTTATCTTATTCCTATTTCATTATTTATTCTAATCATGTATTAGATAGTAAACTGTTTTTTATCAAGTAATATTTATCTTTGTAAACTTATATATGGAATGTTTTATTTGATTGTTATATAAAATAATTTGTTTTCAATATTTATCAAAAATTTAGCATGAGATCTATTCTGAAATAAATAATAAAAATATAATCATTTTAGACTATTAAATATAAAACCATCTGAAATATATATTTTTTTAATTCTAAATTAAATAATTTATAATATTAATTTTAAATATCATATCAAATTATTTGAAATATTAAACATGTATGTATTCAAAAATAATTATTGTTATTGTTTTAAAAAATAGTCAATTAAAATGAATAGAATTGAATTAAATCTTTACCTATATTATAAAAAATTATAATATTTTATATTTGATAAACATAACTTGTAAAAATAAATGTTATATTTAATTTTTAAGATCAAAAGTGATAAAATGGTAAAAAATTGAGTTTTAACTTAATAATTTAAAAATATTATAATTTTTTTTAAAGTCACACAATATATTAAAGAAAGAGTGAGATATTTTAAATATAACGTTTTTTTAAATATATGAATTATTTGTCATGATTAAGCAAGGTACCACCAACAAAATTTATAGTTAATTCCATACAAGTTTGTGGAAAAAGTTAATTGAATAAGATTATTGAAAAGTTATTTAAAACCTTATCTCCTCTGTTTGGCAATATAATTATTCAGGAAAAAAATATAAAATTTGAGCATTAAAAGAATAATGAAAAAACGGTACAACAAGTTAGAATTAGTGAAAATAATAGATAGTGTGGTGACTAAAACAAAAGATCGAAAGATTTAAAGAAGATAAAAATGAAAATTCAATACATCTATCTCTAATATAACATCTAGACAATTCAAATATTAAAGAAGAAAAATGTTAGAAAGAACTTTAATATAACAAAAGTAATATTATAAATAAGAATAATTTAGTCCACAATACAATTATGATTATTAAAACTTTAAGAGTTTAAATTATTTTAGTAATAAATAAATGTTGTTTGATTTGTCACTGGATAAATTTTCATAGTAAAACGTGAAGGGTGCTTGATAAGCAAACAATTAAAAAAAAAGAGTTAAAATTATTACAATTTAAAGAGTTAAACAATAATTTGGTTGTTCTTATGATCCTTTTGATATTTCATTGATAATAATAGGTATTTTTTTTTATCTTCCTATATGAATTGATTAAAAATATTTGGATATAACTGGTAAGAGAGAAAATGAAGTTTTTCTCTATTTGTGAAATTTTACACTTAGGTTTAAAGACAAATTGATTTTAAGTTGAAAACTCATAACAAATAGAGGTGAAAAGTATAATTCTAAATGATTTAATGAATTTTGTTCCATAAAGGATACTGAACATTAAATAACAATAACTTATTCACCTAAGTACAATGGTTTAATAATAAAAAAAAAAAAAAACTGATTTTGCTAAATATGACTAGATGTATGTTGAAAGGAAAATAATTACCTTATTTTCATAAATATATACTAAATAAAAATTTCACAAATAGACTTAAAACAATTGTGCTTGAAGAATATTGGTTTGGAGTAAGCCTAATGTGCATAATTTTAGGTTTTTTGGGCCATTATACTGAAAATATATCCTTAATAAGAACAAAGAAATTGGGTGACAAGTTAGATATCATTCAATTATATATTGATAAGTTGTACATCATTCAATTAAATTGTGATTATGAAAGATGTTATTGCACATGACACTGGATTTTTGGAATTGAGAAAACAAATTTAATCCTTCAAATCCATCTTAACACGCTCAAAGAAAATGTTAGAATGAGAGATTTCCTTTTACTAAACTTACAAATCACGATGAATTGTATAATGATAATAGAAACTCTAACAATTATCAGAATTTATGTTTTCTATTTATGACAAACTAGAATCATACACTTGGTATTAGTGAATGGAAGCATATAATAATTGAAGAATTAGAAATAATTTAGAAAATGAAGACTTGAGGGTTTAATATTATATTAATATGAAATTAGCGTTTAAGACCAAGTTTTAGTAAGACGACACCGTTATCAAACAAAATCCTAGATTAACATTACAATAATTTAAAAAATCCTTATTTGAAAATTTGATTATAAGAAAACTATCTTCTAGTTCAAAGTTTTAGTTTTCTATAACTGAAATTTAGAAATAAATAAATAAATAATATCCATCATCATACAAATCATACTCGTACATATTAACTATTTGATTTTTAATATACATTTTTTTCTACTTTTACCTTCTAAAAAATATATCATTTTAAAAAGAATAAACATTAACTATTAAAATTATTATCAATAAAAAACATAAGATTAAAAAAAAAAAAAAGCAAACTAGGAAAACAATGGTTTATTTCCTGTTTAAATATAATTTGTTTTACCTTTTTTTTTTAAATGGGTAAACATATACAACTTCTTCGTATTTTTATTTTTGTGTTTTTTTTAAGCCCTACTCTAATCCATGACTTTAGTATAGTTTTTTTTAAAAGACCTTAATTTAAGGTGTTTTTTATACAGAAAATGTCATTACATAATATTAGTTCATATATAATTTTTTTTATTTTTTTAAGTTAGTTTTTATTTTTAATTATTAAAAGTTTTTCTTTTAGTATTTATAAAATAAATAAACAATGAGTATATTAAACGTATGTTAAATGATTTTTAAATATATTAAAATTGTTAAAAAAATATGTTAATATAATGATGATTAATGTCATATTTGGTGTTTTTATGATCATCATACCAAAAAAAAAAAAAGATAAAAAATAAAATTATATATATATATATATATATATATTACTTATTTCCAAATATAATGTATTGTAAATATTATTATATGTGTTACGATTTTTATATAAATGATTGTTTCTCGAAGTTCAACTCCTTAAATTAAGTTATTATGATAATCATTTGCATGTTATAATGTAGTTATAATGATAATTTAACTAATATTTGTCAATTCTTTCTTTTTATCTTCTTTATATACTTGATCTATATGTATTAAATTTTAAAAAATACGATAATAACTAAATTAGCTCATAACTCAATTAACTTATGAAATCTAATAATTACAAAATAAATTAATAGTAAAATTTTAATATTTATTAATTATTGAAAAATATTTTAATAATAAAAAATATAGAGAAACTATAAAATTATTTTAACATTATTGACGTTAAAATACTTATTAATTATTTTATTATTATATATATACTAAAATTGTCAATGGACCACTTTAAAATTCTATCTCAAAATACAATTTATTAAAAAAAAATGAATACTTTTGAGAAAAAATAAAGCAAATTATACTGAATAAGAAATAAACCGAAAAGAAGAGGAGCCAGATCCTTGGATCGGTGGTTGTTATGTACGTGAGGGGTTGCTTCGTAGCTACTTACAATTAAATTAAATTTCATTTTATTCTTACCGTTATCTTATTTTTTAAAATATATTTTGTATTGATTTTCACCCGTATTTTTTAAAAGATTTTTCCAAAAACGTATTTTGGAAAACTCAATTCAAAATACGTTATTGAAAAGACTTTTTTATTATTGAATACATTTTTTGAAACACTTTTCGGAATATTTTGAAATGCTAAAAAACTTTTTTGAAAATATACTTAAGAACAGTAATTTTAGAGTGTGATCTTAGAAATTTGTTTTCTGAAAATATATTATAAAATACCTAATTTAATATATTTTTTTAAAAATATATTCTGAAACACTCAATAAAAATACATTTTTACAAAAATTTATTTAAATACATATTTTAGAACACTAATTCTGAAATACGTTTTCACAAAAATCAATCAAAAAATAAATTTTAAATTGATTGTTTTAAAATATGTTTATAAAAAAAAATCCAATTTAAAATATATTTCTAAAATTCAATCATATTTTTAAGTATTATTTAGAACATCAATTTTGAAATACATTTTCACAAAAATCAATCCAAAAATAAATTTTAAATTAATTATTTTAAAATATGTTTATAAAAAAAAATCCAATCTAAAATATATTTCTAAAATTCAATCTTATTTTTACATATTATTTTATATTATAAAATTTGGATTTTTTTACAATTTAAATGTAAATAATTCATATTTAATATTAATAATTAAAATTTTTTTATAATAAAAAAAATTAAATAATAAAAAAATTAGATTATAGGAGATTAAGACGAAAAAATTATACACAACTAAAAAAAAGTTATGATGAAAAATAAAATTAGTAAAAAAGTATTTTAGATAATTGCGAGAAACAAATTATGAATGTTCAGAATTATGGGGTGACCGAGACATCCGTGCAGATCCGATGCTGTGACCTTCTTGTAGTTTCAAAACACATAAAAATAAAAATAAAATTAAGATTCGATTTCCAACTACACAAATCTAAATCATAGAGGTACGAATTATTTTTATGCAACTCTAATGTGAATTTCATATTTTCCGATCTCCGAGTTCGATTCAGACGCCCTCCTATGCTTTTTCCGAGTTTTTACGTATTATATAATTGTTAGGGAAATTACCATATTTTTCCTGACTCTTAATCTCTTGGATGAGCTTCTTGTTCTGGATTTTGCATCTCTCGTACAATTTATCATTTATCCAATTAATTTACTAGTTTGATAAAATCTCTTAATTTATTTATATGTCAAGGCGAGCGATTTTTCTGGTTCTGTAGATGCCCTATTATTTCATCGGATTAATCGAAATGGGGTGAGTGTTGTTTTGTATTGATTACGGATATGGTTATGTAAAACACTATGTGATGACAACTGGAAACATACGCAATACTGTGTACGCTTTGGTTTGAGCCTTTTAGGTCATTTGATCATTTCATGTTAGGTATATGGTTAGGCATTAGATTGTTAAATAGGGGTGATCTCTTACAATATAGACTGGTAAAATCAGATGTGTTTCATATACAAATCGGGATGCTTTTACTGGTGGTGTCTTACATGGTGTATGACTTGCTGGTTCTTGATTTTAAGTTGTGTACTCTAGGTTATCAGCATGTGAATTCATTGTGATGTTATAAAGACAAATCTTTGAGTTACAGATTGATTTTGCTTGAAATTGATTTTCATGTGAAGTATTTTATGTTTGGATGCTTTTATTCAAGCAAGCTAGTGTAAAAGTCTGTCAACACCGAAGTTACTCAAAAGTTGTTTCTACTAAAAAACAATTATGAAATTAATTCAACATGTAAAGATCTACTTAAAATCACGTAGTTAGTATTTCAATGAAGTTTGAATGCGAATCTGAACATGCTCTGAATATATATTGTCACCTTTGTTTAACTCCATCTCATTTATCATGCATTTTCTTGTGATATCAGTTAGTATTTCAATATAGTTTGAATGCGAATCTAGACATGCTCTGAATATCTATTGTCACTCTTGTTTAACTACATCTCATTTATCATGTATTTTCTTGTGATCGCGCTTGTAGCTTGGTGCCAACGAAATTCTTGCTTTAGTTATTACTCCCTATAACATGAGGAGGTGACTTGAAGATGGCAGACTTACCAGGGTATATACAAACCTGTTTGAACACAGGGAAACTTGTCTCGTTGGCAATTTTGGTCTCTGGGGGAATCGTCTTGCAAATTTTGGTCAGTATTACCTTTTATTTTTTGATGTATATGTGCAGAAATAGATGCCACTGTTTACTTACATCTGTCATTTGTGTTATGTGACAGGCATGTGCCTTGTATAATAATTGGTGGCCGATGCTAAGTGGTGAGATAAAGCACCGCTGAAATTTGACTCCAGTGTACGATATGTTTATTCTTTTCATTGATGTTACAAGAACATCCCGTGGTTGTTTTCTCTTGCAGTGTTAACGTATGTGCTTCTTCCAATGCCTTTGCTGTTCTTTGCGGGGTCTAGTGATTCTGTATTCTCTGAATCTGATAATAGGTAAACTCTTGTGCTTGAGTATAAATTAAAAAGTTAAATCATTAAACTTTGATCATACAACTTGTTGAATTAGATTGATTCATGTTAGATTATATTTTTATCAGAAAAGAAACTCGTTTGGTTCAAGTTAGATTGGAATTTTATCAGAAAAGAAACTGAATATGGTGGATTAATCCTTCAACTTTTTGTTTTGTGGTCTTGTGAATGATGGAGCAGCTGGGTGAATTTTACCAAGTTTTTGACAGGAGCCTCGACCGTGGGAGGCATCGCCATTCCAAGCATATTAAAGCATGCCGGGGTTATCGGTTGGGGAGCCTTTGCAATGGAACTCTCTTCCTACTTTGTGTTTGGACTGACAGTACTATGTTACCTTTGGATGAGTGATGAAGATGATTACAGTATCCTCTGAGACGAGACATCATCATTGTAAAAATAAATATTTTCATTTCATGTGCTATTGCTTTCCTTTTGCGATCTTCACCACAGCATATTTCTTTTCCCATTTAAATTAACAATGATTTGTTGACACCCTCAATTGTAGAGGAGCTTTTAGCCAATATATGGGAATTGTATGCAATAGTATGTATTGTCTGTGAAGAAATGTGCGGGCTGTGTCCGTTTTCTTATTGAGTTAACTAAGTTTTATTATGTTCATTATATTTCAAATAAGTTTTATTTGGCAAAGTTATTTTTGTAAGATACATTTCAAAATCGTTTCTGAATTTAAATAAAATTTCCAAGTTACATTTTCTTAGTCAATTCCATTAAATATAAAGGAAACCAGGTTCCCAGCTCTAACAATATCCAAAGTTCAAGTTATACGAATTCTTCGAACTTTTTTTTTTAAAGAAGAAGAAAAAGAAGCACAATATCATTCAAAACCGTGTTTCTGATTACAACAAAAACTTGATGATGTTTGTGTTAATGCTTGCTTGCCACGTTAGTGTTGTCTGTCAGTATCCAAAAATCATCGGTTATGGTAATACGCATGGATAGCGTCAATAACTTGTTTCAGCTTGTGAAATACAGAAGATTAGGTATTGGAATATACAATCTAATTGAATATTTAAAACCTCATCACAAGTGAATGTATATTGTAAAATTATAGTCAATAAGTTAAGTTTAATAATCTTATAAAATTTCTTCAACTTCAAGCTATTTCGGTAGCGCAACGTAAGCAAAAGTAAATAAAGATACAACTAATTGCGGGCAAATGCTACGGTAGTACAACAACCAGGAAGAAAAATTCCCGATCCCAAGAGAGTAGAGTGCACATCGGTTGTTCTTTCTTTGCTTCTATTTTGGCCTAAAAGTTGTGTTCCAAACATAAGCATACGCCACTTCATAAACTTAGTTAAACTCCTTTAATTTTTTCGACCCAAGTGTTTATCAGAATTGATAAGCTTAAATAAGCCCCGTAGACTATTAGGGTTACTTAAGACGTCTCCAACATCTAATGACATAATTGGTTTGAAAAAATATGTCTATTTTTATTTCATATTGTTATTAATTTCATTGACAATTATATGTTTTCAAGGATTTGGAAGTAAAGATAAAAATATTTTCTTACTGCAACAATGACCTAAATCTAAACCCCCACTATTGCACCAAATAATGTGAAGAACTTATTTTACCGCCGAAGTTTGGGCATATTCAACAAACACAGAAGCAGATCATCTGATACCCATGGCAGAAAATTAGTAAACTAAATTTAGAGAATGAAATTACTGCATAATTAAGTTTAGAGGGCAATGTCATGACCTGGAGGAAACTAGTAACTATGAACGCCATGGCCTACCTATCAGAGGAACATGTCACTGCAATTATCCTCCCCAAAAAATCATTTGCCATTTGGCACGAGAAAACTTTAGGTTAACCCATCCATTTTAAAGCATAATCCGTTGTTTTCTACACATCCAAACTGTTACTAATATCATTGATCCTAATGCCAGATTGGGAAAAAAACCCGGGAAGTATATTAACACAACACTCGCGGTAAACCAAGACACATTTTTTGGTATTATCTTTCTCCCAAAGTAGTTACAGTAATTTGAACCTAACTCCATTGGGCCTCTGATAAAAAGTGTTTAACCAAAAATGACGAGGGACTATAAATGAACCTGAGAAGATAACATGCATTCATCAATGTTAACAAATTGAAAAGACAAAAAGAAAAGAGAGATAGCAACTTATACGAGAGAGGACAATTTCGCTTAAAGTAAACGTGTTTTTATAGCAAAAAGTAGATAAAATTGAATCCCATAGCATAAGCTGAACAAGTAGATGACAGAGTCGAGATCAGAAAACTACACGAAACTGAGGTGCGTTGGACTGAACCGCCGGGAGGATCTCCCAGCGGCAGGGCTCAAGGTCTTCGGAGACGGGGCAATAGCCGGCGAGTGTGACCTTGTCGTTGGAGGCGGCGACAGAGCCGAACTCGAAAACCGACACAGTGGTGTTGGGTGGTCGGGGAACCTCGACGGCGCCGTTCATCCCTGGGGCCTCAGTGAGGGGTTTCGATGTGTCTGGGCCGTTCGATTTGGGAATTGATGACGATGAAGATGACTTTGCTTCGGACTGGGTTTGGGGTTTATTCCCCTTTCGCCACCACAGTAAACCCATGCTTTGTTTTTGGCTAAGGTTTGTCTTGGCTTGTGCTGTGTTATGTTATGCCTCGTTTTTCCTCTCTCCTAAGCTAGGGATTACACCACTTCATTATGTAACGCAAACTTGTCTTTTTCCCTGTCCCAAATTACTTCATTGCCCTTTTCATAACTTTTTTTTTTATTTTTTTATTATTATTAATAACTGTTTAGGTAATCTTAAAATTATAACTCTCTCCTCCTCCGCTCTTCGCCACCGCGCCTCCGCTCGTGGCACTGTTTCGAGTAACTGGTCGCGTTTCCTCTCTATCACACTCCGACTAGTGGCGGAGCTCGCAGTATCGCGTGATCTGATATCTCGTATCCTTCCGCAGACACAAACCACGCGACCTCAGCTCCGGTACCTCTTCTCTTTCTCTCTCTGTGCGTGTGTTTCTCTGTGTGATTGTGTGGTTCTCAATTTAATTTCCATAGATGCGCTTCTGGCCAATTTGTGCATTATGAGTTTCTGAATGTTAATGCTGTATAATTAATCTGAAACGAAATGAAGTAGTAGTACCAATTCTAGCTAAGATCTGAGAGGTTATGCGCAAAATCTCCAGCGTTAAACCGTTGCAGGGTTCTCACACTCTATTATTGATCACACGCAACAGAGTATATGTACATAGATTGATATAGAATTGACATTTTCTACACAAAATGCATGGTATTGTTAGGTAGCCATCACTGTCACAAATCAAGTTATCTCTTCTTTGTTCAATTTGCCTAAACATTAGTCTAAAAGCAACAGATTTTGGCAAAGAAACCATAGGTCAACCTTTATTGGAACTGCTATTTTGTTAGATAACTACCCCTTTGCTCACTACGATACCTATCCTTGCAATACTAATCACATGGACTTTCCTTCCTGTTTGCAGATTTATTTATTAATTCTCAATGATACTACCCCTTTGCATATTTTGTTTGATATATACCCTTTAAACTGTGTTTATCTGGAGTATTGTACTATAAGAATCAAAGGCGTGGATTTTGTGAAGGTCATTATGTTTGTTAAAAATGTATTGATTTGCAAAGAAGGAAAGGTACAATTTATAGATTTATTTTCTTTTATGTATTGAAAAGATTTGAGATCGAAGACAGCCGTTTTTTATTTCCCTTAGTAATCCTTTTTTTAGATAAGGTATATTACATTATAATATACATATTATATTATAGTACAAATTTAAACTATTATTTATTATGAAAAAATTGATTAATTAAATTCTAATTAAAAATTTCTTTCAAATCAAAATTTTTATTTATAATATTAAAATTAGTTTAGAAATTATTATTATTATTATTATATCATATATATATATATATATTTAATTAAATACATACAAATTAATTAATTTAAACATGAATGTATACTTTTATATCTTAGTCTGCGTTTGTTTTAAACAGATCTCCCAGATGGAAGAATGCATATTTTGTTCCTGTTTTCAACCACTAATTTGAGGAGAAAGGTGGGATGAATTTAAGGGAGAGTGAAAAATAATAACTCTCGTGTATACAAGGAGAAACAGGATAAAAGAAAAGGAAAAGGAGAATAAATCCTCTCATAGTTCATAAAAACAGTGGAATAATTAAACATTTATGTGGCTCTATATATACATTGAATCGTTTCAAAAGATGCATGCATCATTTTATACGAAATATCATAGTTGTGCATGTAGAGCAATCGTTGTAGCTCAACTACAACTCTCACATACAACTACATTTGTTTCCTTGTCTCAACAAATGAGACTAACATTAAATATATAAGAGGGAGTCGTTCTTGGAGATGAGTTGTTATCTCGTATGTGAGGTGAATTCATGTGGTTCATTTGTGAGAAGTGAGTTGGTTGAGGTTGGTTTGGTTTGCGTTGGTGGTGGTGCTTGGTTGAGAAACTGATTAAGAGAGGTAAATAGAATCACAGAGAATTGATTAGCGCATCTTTAAATTGATGGAAAATTGATTCTCCCTTCTTTTTTGAATGCATGAGAATCGATTCTCCTTGAGAGCAAACTTAATTCTTGCTTCTTTCACGTGTGGAAAATCTATTCTCCGTGATAGCAGAATCGATTCTTGCTTCTTTTGTGCGTGGATAATCAATTCTCCTTAAGATCAGAATCGATTCTCAGTCTCCTTTTACGTGTATGCATGTGATAATTGATGTGTATTACCTTAGTTTACAGTTATATTGTGCTTCTGGTTTACATGTTGTTGCTGATCATTGTGGGTGGTGGTGTTTCTGATCTTGATTCATAGAGAATTAATTATTTGAGAATTGATGAAATAATGAGAATCGATTTTTGGTTTGAATACATGAGAATTGATTCTCGCTTTCTTTATATGCATGCAAAATCGATTCTTTGTTAAACCAGAATAGACCACCTTACGAGCACCAATTCTCCTTCAATGATAAATATTAAATTATACCTGAGTGGGAATCTATTCTGTTTTAACAATAATTAAATTTTGAATCATTTATTAATATTAAATTAAACATGTATTTAATTACTATTATTAAATAATAAGTTATGTTTGTTATATATATATATATATATAGTATTAATAATGTTATTAATATATTTCTCACCTAATTATACTTAGAGAAGAATTAATTCTCCTTAAATCATTTATTAGTATTAAAAGAGAATCAATTCACATTTTAAAAAATATCAAGTATTAATAATATTATTATTATAATAATATTAATAAAGATTTTATTTATTAGTGTATTAATGATAAATTAATAATTTTATAATTATCAATTATTTAAAATATTTTATAATATATAAATATTTAATATGATTTTGTAAATTAATTGTAGAATATAATTATAAATTTTAGTGAAAAGAATATATAAATTAGATAATCAAGTTTAGAAAAATATATAATTAATATTAATTTTAATTTCAAAAAATAATATCAGTATAATAATAATAAAAATATTATTAATATAATTGGTGTATTAGTACTTTAAACAAAATAATAAAAAAATTAGTTGAAATAACAACACATAAATAAATGAGAATCTAAATTTATTATTTTTATAATATATTTAGTTATATATATATATATATATATATATATTATCTTATATAATTATTTTTATATAAAATCTAAAATATTAATTATTTAAAAATTACAGGAAGATGATTTTTAATTACTAATTTTAACGTGAAACAATTTCAAAAAAAATTGTGGGTAAACAAATTTTTTATATTTTTTTTTATTTTAAATAATAACTCACATCTTATTTTAACAGAATTTATTTTAATTGTATTTTTTTAAAATTATATTTTTAAGATATAAATAAAATTATAATCTTACAATTTTATTAATAAAAATATTTTTTAATTTATAATGATATCACTTACAACTTTTTCTCTTATTTCTTACTAATTTTCTTTTAATCTAAACAACTTCACTTTTTATTCTTTTTCGTACAAATCCATTTATTTCCACTCCCTCGAATTCATTTTTAAGTCCAAACACATATTTAAAGATAGTTTCCCTTAAAATTGTTTAAGCACATTTTTTAAAATTGTTTTCACATTAAAATTATTATAAATTAGTAATTAAAAATCATTTTCCTACCATTTTTAAAATAATTATTACAGTAGATTTCATGTAAAAATAATTATATAGGATAAAAAAATTAAGTACATTATAAAAATAATAATTTTATATTCTTATTTATTTATGTATTTTTAGTTCAACTAGTTTTTTTATTATTTTGTTTAAAGTACTAATACACTAATAATAATATTATTATATTTATATTGATATTTTTTCTAAAATTAAAATTAAAATTAAAATTTATAATATTATTAATAATATATTTGTTTCACGTTAGTTATCTAATTTATATATTCTTTTAACTAAAATTTATAAATATATTTTACATTTAACTTACAAAATCATATCAAATATTTATATATTATAAAATATTTTAAAAAATTGATAATTATAAAATTATTAAGTTATGTTTAATATATTAATAAATAAAATCCTTATTAATATAATATAATAATATTATTAATATATAACAAACTCAAATTATTATTTAACGGTAATAATTAAATATAACTATAATTTAATATTAATAAAAATTTTGAGAATGAAGGAGACGTGAGAATCGATTGTTTCTATTAATTATAATCAATGATCTGATAAGGAAAATATGCAACTCGTGAGAAATATATTAATAACATATTTAATATTATAAATATATATAACAAACCTAATTTATTATTTAGTAATAATAATTAAATTACATATATGATTTAACATTAGTAGTAAATGATTTAAAAGCTTAAAGAGAATTAAGTATAATTTAATATTTCTTGTTAAAGGAGAGTTGATTTTATATATAATTAGAGATTCTAACTTAAAAAAAAATTCCATTCTGTATGTATCAAAAGAAAGGAAGTGAAAATCGATTTTCATATATTCAAATTAAGATAATCAAACAGTACTGTCTACAACAACTAGCAACATGTAAACCAAAAATACAACAAACTTATAAATCAAGACAATACATATCAATGATGATATGTTACAAGAATTAATTATGCAACGAGAATAGATTCTCATGCGTTAAAAAGAAAATAAAAAATCGTTACATACATATTGTTTCTGGTAAAAATTTGATCGATTTCGATTAAATCAAGACTTAGGTTCTAACCAAATTTTAAGCACGTAGATTCTTTTTATTTAGGCTAGCAATCAAGTTTTTCAATCGAAAAGCGTATGAGAATTGAAAATATCACAGTATCGAGAAATGTTACCAAAGCAACAGATCATACAAATTGAAAATCGAAAGTACTATTTTTGGTGTTTTTTATTAAGAGACGCGAAGTAAAGAAAGTGGTAAAAAAGTATCGAATCGAAAAAGCAATGCAGAATATTAAATTGCAGAGAAATGTAAAATGCGGAAACCTCGAAATTGTACTAAGTGTAAATGGCAGGAAATCGAAATTGCTGAAATG